CTTAATGTGTTATAACTGCAGATAAAAGAGCATTTGAGTGTTACATTCTTTTAAGTGTCTCTCACCAAATACATATACATCACCAAATAAGGATATGTAACAAATTTACTTTTGAAGAGTGAATTATATGTACATTATATAAATCAATATTTGATAGTCGAATGGACGATTCCTTTTCATCCGTATGCCATCAAATACCCGTATGCAAATTTGGATGAGTCAAAATTTGAACCTTAAAAATGTTAGTCATGTGTAAATTCAAGTTAAATGTTTCATTGGTCACTAAACTTTATATCATATCACAGTTTACTCGTCAAACTTCATTAATCGTCCCATTGACCATTGAACTTTGCTCCGTCAAACTCCATCACTCACTCGTTGAAATCCGTTAATAGACTTGCCTATTTGGATGACGGGAAAATGCACGACTTCGATCAAAACACGACTTGGAATTAAAACAAACCCCAAACCATTAAATCAATTGTTCTATCTCATGGTGCCCAAATTCACCTCAAGAACTCTAACCCCCGAAATTGAATGTAGGAAGCCGGGCCACTACCTATCGGAATGCCCGACTGAGAAACAATGCCTAACATGCGGCAAGGGATTTGTGAAATGATGGAGGTTGAAAAGAAGATTGAAAACATAGGTTGGCTATTATACTGTTTTACACTTGTACTAACGATTGTCGGTGTTTCAAGTGGAGCGATGTTATTTACCATGAAGAACATGTCCAATTTGAGGCGGGTCAAGCAATATATCGGCAATTCAAGTTCCGTCAAGAATATTGAAGGATGTTGCTAAAATAACTGAAGGAAATGACGTGGAGATCTCCGCAAGGAAAAACGAGATAAAGAGATCGAGAGACGAAAGGGAGGATCTCCTTGAAATTGAACCGCTTATGTTATTCGTTTAAAAAATTTAATTGTAATGGATATTTGTTGTATGTTCAACTTGCAGTAATGGAATTAAGGCCATGTTTGATTTGCTTTATTTTCCTTGGAACTTGGAATTTCATTTCCTTTTCCAGCCAAATGAGGTCTTTGATGTGCAAAATTCTGCTGGCAAAACATTTTCTTGGGGAGAGGCTCACGCGCCTCTTTTGCTTGATTTTGGGGAATT